TGTGCCATATATAAAGCTCCATATAAATTTAAAGAAGGATACCTACGTCTAAAATCACCCACTCGCCAGATCTAAACTCCTCTTCGACTAAGCCAAACGTAGGTTACACAAGGTCTTGAATTTTAGGTTGTCACTACTACAAACCCGTCGATCCTATAATAATTGGGCAATAAAAAAAGTTAATTACGAATTTAACTCTAAAAGAGATACTGTAGTAGAAACAAAAAGTGTGCAAATTTAGGCTGATGTAATATTTCTGAAGCTTGGTGCCAGAATGCGAACCTCAAATATGGATGATTGTATTAAAGAGTTCAACTTAATGCTGCGGAGTATTAGATTAGATAATATTCAAGAAATTGCTGATAGAGTTCTGTGACCCTAGTTAGATAGAAGACGAATAAGGATGGATGGGAAAATAAATTTATGTCTCTAGATCACGGCATCCATATCCAATACAAACTAATCATATACTGTATGTCCTAGAAATTAAATAAGTTAAGTTTGTATAAAATTTTTATTAAAAATACTATTACTAGGGATCTACTGCGGCCCACATTATAGTAAATTGTGAAATTCCGAAATATTCCACCTGCGCAGCATCTCTTTCCTACATATCTCAAACTATAATATGATATGGAAATTTTTAGAAAATTTTAATTTAAATTGATAATTTTAGATATAAATTCTCTAGAATTTGAAATTTTAGATTTTTTGTGAAAATTTTATATCTAAAATTTTACGCGTACATCTATTTACCTATCAATATGTTAGATGAATATCCATGCTCCAAGCATACCCGACCAATAAAAATTCATCACGGGTTAATATACGTGTAACCAATTTTTTAAGATTTTGAACGAAGTTTTCTTGACCAAATTCAATAATATTTTTTTATTTTAATCTACACATTCGTATAATTAAAATAAAATAATTCATCGAATTTTGTAAGACGTGTGTCGAGAAATCTTTGCTCAAAGTTTAGAAAGAATCAGTTTTTAAGCGCTTTTTGAATTTTTTAAAACTTTGAGCGAATTTTATCGATACCTACCTGACAAAATTCGACGAAATTTTTCATTTTAATCCTAAATATTCGTGGGATAAAAACAAAACAAACCAAAAAAAAAAAAAAAATAGTCGAATTTGTTCAGGTGTGTCGAGAAAACTTCGCTCTAGGTTTAGAAATAATTTGTTCCGTCTATTAGTAAATGAAGTGCTTCTGAAAATTTTTAAAACTTGAGCACAATTTTCTCGATAACCACCTGACTAAATTCGATGAAAATTTTTTTATTTAATTCTACATATTTGTAGGATTAAAATAAAATAAAAAAATTGATCGAATTTGGCCTGGCAATTATCGAAAAACCTTCGCTCAAAGTTTTAAAAAATTTAAAAGCACTTAATTTCCTAATAGATGAAATTGATTCTTTCTAAACTTTGAGCGAAGTTTTCTTGACACATACTTTACAAAATTCGATAAGTTTTTTTTTTATTTTAATTATACGAATATGTAGAATTAAAATTAAAAAATATCATTGAATTTGGTCAGATATTTATCGAGAAAACTTCGCTCAAATCTTAAAAAAATTGGTTAGACGTATTTAACCCGTGATGAATTTTGATTGGCTGGGCGTCAGGCAACATGGATAATCTTGATGGGTAAATAGATGTACGCAAATTTTACGGTTCCCTGTGATCCGTTGATCCGCCGCGAGTCAACCCGCCGGGTCACCCGGGTCATGATTTTTTAGACGGGTTGAAACACTAGGCCCACCTTAGCACGATATCGCGTTAAACCAGGAACAGATGAATATAACTTAATTTAGAAAATGTTCAACAACTCCAATACAGAATAGTTATATATTGTTTAAATTCAGATAAAATAAATATCAGATATACAACTAAATACAGCATAACTATATTGACATGAAACACTATAATTAAACAACAAGAAATTTATAATATTTTTAAATGTATATAGTATAAAGTGTAAAAAAAAATATCATACCAATTCACTATAATTTTCTAATGCTAACCCTAATGATATATAATGCCGGAATAGATATTAAATATAGAGGTATTTCACACCCTATACAGTACAGCTTAATTAGAAATGTTCTTGGCAGATGATACTAATGTTGATAAGAAGCTAAATGAGAGTTAAACAATCCATATTAAATACTTAGATCAATTAAACAAATAAATAATCGCTAAATTTAGAGACTAATGGCACTCTTAATATGATTAACTAGCTGCATAATGTACTACAATTAATCAAAGCAATCTTTATTGAAATATTGCTAAAGATTCATATCGCAAAATGCAGATAATAAATTTTAGCAAGTCTATGTCAAAAAAGTGGTTCAAAATTTTTTTTATCAAGATAATGAACCTACTTACTGGTTAAACTACTTTCCGCAAATTAGAAATTGAGCTTCGATCTATTAATTATATGATCGAGAGAATTTTAAGTCAATACAAATAAAAATTTAAACAAGAAATTAATTATATATTGATTGATAATGTTCAATTGATTAAATAAGAAAACATCATGGGAAAACCTGACATTAGATGACGAAGAGTTTTGTAGACCAATTTTAGCCTATTAAAAATTTTTAGAGATGTTAATATTTGTATAGCTTCTTCAATACTATATTGCCTTAAAATCATTATTACTGTAGCTATGTAATAATATTTATGCAATGCTACTGCAGAACTGTATCGATGCAGAAATCTACCACAAGTTATGGCTTCAATAACTATTGCTTAATCTGGAGCTATGACTTTAAAAGTCTATTCAGTTGCAGCTAAAACCGGCTTCAGAATAAGCTGTTAATGGTTTTGAAGACTATCTAAAGACAGTTGGAAGAACCAGTGTGTGAAATTCAATGTTCTCCGAGAACACCAATAAAATTTTAAGAACATTAAATAGATTTTTTTAATGTTATGCAAATTTAATTTTCTATATTGAGAACATTAAAAAATTTTTGAGAACATTAAGGACTTGAAAAATGTTCTTAGTAGTGCTCAGCAAAATCGGGGGCCTAATTTCCCCACCGTTTCTGATTGGAGCGGTGAATATTGTCTCTGATTGGACAAAATAAATTATGTCGCCAATAAAATAAAGTAACAATAATAAAAAAAAATAAAAATAATGATAATAAAAAAAATAATAAAAATAATGATAATAAAAATAATAACAATAAAAATAATGATAATAAAAAAAAATAATAAAAATAACGATAATAATGAGAATAAAAAAATAAACCAATAAAAAAAAAGCTTCATTTAGTGCATATACATATACAATAATTTATTTATAATGAAGGGTTTGTATTTATATAGTTTTATTAGTATGCAAACACAAACACTTTTATCTTATTAACATTAAATTTATTAAACATTAAATAATACTTAATATTAATCGCTAAAGCTTTTTTTACATATCATACATGAAAAAATTCAAGTCGCTTATAGAATTTTGCTTGAATACATACATGTGTGAATAAAATAAAATAAATATAGTGTAATCTTTTCTTATAATGTAATTTAAATGTTTAATAAATATGTTGATCAGTATAAAAAAGCTTGGTTACTTTTTTATGTTTTCTACTATGTTTAATACCTTCAAGAAGGATATTGTAACCAAGTTGACTTAACAATTGTAACCAAGTTGCCTTGACAATAGTAATGACATATTGCAAATTAATTAGATCAAATACTACATGAATATTCAAACAAACATAAGGTTTAATGATCAGAATAATAAAATAATCAGAATTGGTATTAGTAATGATGTTTTATATAATGATAATCAAGTTGGATATGAAAATAATATTAGGTAATACAGGCACCTACTAGGTAGAACATTAGATGAACACAACCTTCTGTGACTGGAATTATGTTAATAATGAGTTTGATGTACTACACAATAACAATAATGCTCGATTTAATATTAGCAGTAATATGTTACGTGATATAACCCAAAATTAATAAATGCAATAATATTAAGGATATTAAAAGCAATCAATATAGTGAATTGCGAGAAGGTATGATTTTTTGTGACTAAAACTATGCATTGAAAGAAGTTAAAATATATGAAAAAAGGCAGGGATTTAAGATGTGTTGTTATCATGTAGAAAAGCTTAAGAATAGTAATATTCAAAGGTGTATGAACACTTTGGCCAACCTAAAATAACAAAAAGCAAAAATCCAAAAAAAGAAACTATGTCTAAATGTGTTGAATACACTTAGCAAATAAATTTATCATGCTCAGAGAAAAAAAATACACACAAGATTATATGCATTACTAAATTAGTTGATGATCATAGAAATCATGACATTGATCTATCACATTACAATTTTCAGAAAAATATAGAGTTTACTACAAAGATGATTCAAGATATTGAATTTTATATAAAAACTATGAACTGCAGTCCTCAGCAAGTTCGCAAAGCTTTGGAGAAAAATATTTTACCAAATTCTATATACTAGTATTATGCCAAGTTATTCAATAGTTTTGTCTAAAACTATATAATCAAACAAATAATATTAGCAAATTATATGAAGAATTCCTAAATAAGAAGGAGACTGATCTCAATAGTATATTTAGATAGATTGGGATCCAAACAGCGAGTGTCTTAGATAATTGTTCTATATGTCTCTGGATTAAATTAAACAATAGTTATAATATTGTGACATTGTTTTAAATGATAATACCAGTGCTACTATTCGGTATGAAATAGCATTGTCACTTTTTTTGGTAATCAATAACTATTTATCCTCTTGATTAATAGCATAGGCATTGACATATGATGAAACCAAGAGATATATAGTTAGATACTACAATAAATTAAAGAAGCAACACACAGTGCTACTCTATGAGTTATTTTTACTGATGCTAATTCTGCTCTAGTTGTTGCTATACAAGATGAATTTTCTACTACAAATGCACTTTATTGTATGTTTTATATTGCACAAAACATCACTTTCAATCTCAAAAATCATCTTAAAGATCAATATAATGAATTTATTAGGAATTTTTTTGAAGTGCATCAAATTGGATTTGTTCCAATTTTTAAATATCAATAGAAATTACTGCTTGAAAGTATAATAATGTAAATGTATTTAATTATTTACAGCAGCTTTATAATAGTAAAGAATCATGGACAAAAGCATATGCACTCAAAATATTTATAGCAGGAATATTGTTGATAGTGTTTTGAATATAGCCAGCTTATTCAATATTCCCATTAACTCATTAAGGCTTATTTAGTTTTTATACTATATAATATATAAAAATATCATTTATTTGTATAATTTTATAATATTTTTGAACATATTATATATTATATAGCTTATAAATTAAATAAGTCTTAAATAAGCCAATGGGTATAAAATAAGTCTAATCAAGCTTGCTCAATTTGGAACACTGGTCATCGAACTCTTGAGTAGAAAGCTATAATTTAAAACTTAACTGATTTTTAATTCAAATACAACAATGTTAGAGCTTGTAGACAAATTAATGGCATGTATTCTTGAAAAAATAAAAAAAACAAATTATGCTTTATTTTGTGCATCAATTCCTAAAGCTGCCTTGGTTGCAACAGCTAATACTATTTTTTTCCAAATATTTGCAAAATATTGTGAAAGTATTTAGCTATAAAAATATTAAAAATTCAGAAGGATTAGATAAAACAATTACTGCAATATTATGCTATAATAGTAACACAAAGTGAAGTACAAAAATATCATGTAGTAAGTATTCTAAAAAAGTATATTAATATAATTATCATTATATTTATTATTAATGTTAATATTAATATATACTAACTCTAAATTAAACTAATTGCAGATTAATTTTAATGATCCTGCTATATTTGAAAACCAAAGTTACACTAATATTATTGCCAAAGTGATATTAAATCATGTTAATAAAAATAACATTATTGAAATGTAGAGAATTTGACATGTTATGTCAAATGATATATGATATTTTGTAATACTCTTGATAATAGGTTTCATTTATTCTCTTGTCTTAATCACTGTAACTATGAAATTATATGTCACCATTTTTATCAAGTTATACTATATATACAAACTGCAATATTTCATATTAAATTAATATAATCATGAAAATTTGAGTCATAACAATCAATAAGAATAAGTTGTGAAAGTTCAGTTTCTTATCTTAATACTCTAATTCAAGATATAATGTATAAAGTGCAGGATAGAAATTATAAAATTGTGGATAAACATAAACTATATAGAGAGGCATGGGGTAAAGCAAGAGCAGCTTTAATGTGGCTGTTTGCCAATATGAGTATAATTTTATTAAGATTCTTGATAAATTAGATGATTGTAAAGAAGAAATATCTTCTAATAGTGATAGTGAGATAGATTCAAATAATGAAGTTAGGTCAGATAATACAACCAAAAAAGAAATATTAGATCTGAAAGAATTAGTAAATCCTTATAAACATAAAGAAAAAGGATAGCCTAAGAGTACAGATAGAATGTGGCATGCAGATGAGCCACCAAAAAAGCAAAATGCAAACTACGTTGTAGAATCTGTAAAGATATAGGCCATAATTGAGCAACTTGTTCTCGATGACAAAAATAGCATTATAGTTATTTTGTGTTGTATATGAATAGCACCAAAGTAAGCCAGAAATATAATTGTAAAGTTACAATTAAACATCTGGTTTCTTAAATTGCAAACTGTTTAGAATTTAAATTGTAATACATTTTTTAGTTCACTAGATAATAATAGTGTATATTTTGTTTGTAATATTAATATAAGTTGTAATGAAACTTTAGTACAGTCAGACCTTGTTATAGTCACTCTCAATATAGTTACAACCTTGTTATAATTATGCTATTTTTTTGACTTAGCTATTATAAAACATATAAATTTTGACCTTTATATAGTCACAACTTTTTATAGTCACCAAAATTTTGTTTCCCAACCTGGTGATTATATCGAGGTCTGACTGTATAATGAATCATTTCCCAGTACTATCTAATAAATGTTGCTTTCACATGATAACTAAAAAATTTTATAAAGTTTGTTAATAACATTTAGTTTAAAATTAAACATTATGATATAAATTAAACATTATGAGATAATGTAGCACAACATTTTTTAAGCAATGCTGGGTAAGAAAAAACAATATTACAAACAAAATATTTTATATAGACAGATATATATACTACAAATATGACAATAGCTAGAATTAAGTTAGATTAAGGTTAGAGTAGATAATGTTAGCTATTGCCAGCATATGAATTTTGTATCTTTAGAAACAGTCTACTACAGAATTTAAATTTTATACTCTATACAATCATGTCAACTATTATTATACTTCAAAAATTAATTAGTTGAATTAGCTAGAAGTGGCTATTACTATGATAATTTTTAAATTATGTGACCCATATTTTTGGAAGTCATCTGGCTAATTCTATTAAATTAAATCAGATGTGAAAATATATGTACATATGTACATACATACATAGTGGTATAGAGATGGATATTAATACATAATATCACACACTAGTCGAAATCAAAAATATCATCTCTATATTATTCATATATCTTCAAATAATCAGCCTAGGTGATATGAGGGCAATAGGCTGTTGGTTACAACCCAATTACGTAGGGATAAAAAAACTAATACACTGATGTTTTAAGGAATTATGTTACATATCGGGCTTAATGATAAAAAAAATATGCAATAATCGGTAAGAAAATTTGTATAAGATATAAAGACAATATAGTAAGAATTGTCGAAGTTAAAAGAAAATATCTAAATGTCTTCAAATAATCGGCCTTGGTGATTACAGGCTGATATGAATTAGAATTAATACGATTATAGAGCGTTTTAAAATAATTTTCTAAAAACTTTAATTAATCGTCCAAGGTGATAGAAGGCTGATATATGTTTAAAGTTAATTATTTAAGTCTTTATTATATCTTCTTGTAATTTATATAATCTGTAAAATATTTATTATCAATTAATAGAAATTTAATTAATCAACAAAATATCAGCTTAATTTAAGATAAAAAAAATTTAATATCATTAGTAAAATATCATCATAAAATTTATATATTAATAAAATAATCGGAACATATCATAGCATATTGGTTTAAAATAAAATGTTTAAAGTTAATTATTTAAGTCTTTGTTATATCTTCTTGTAATTTATATAATCTGTAAAATATTTATTATCGATTAATGGAAATTTAATTAATCAATATAACATCTGTTTAATTTAAGATAAAAAAATTTTTTTAATATAATCAAAAAATATTATCATAAAATTTATATACTAATAAAATAATCAGAAAATATTATAGTATATCAGTTTAAAATAAGATTTTTAAAGTTAATTATTTAAGCCTTTATTATATTTTCTTGTAATTTATATAATCTGTAAAATATTTATTATTGATTAATGAAAATTTAATTAATCAACATAATATTGGCTTAATTTAAGATTAAAAAAAATAAATTAATAGCATCAGTAAAATATCATCATAAAATTTATAGCATATCATAGCATATAATAGTATATTAGTTTAAAATAAGATGTTTAAAGTTAATTAGTTAAGTCTTTATTATATCATCTTGTAATTTATATAATCTGTAAAATATTTAGTTTTGATAAATAGAAATTTAATTAATCAACTAAATATCAGCTTAATTTAAAATCAAAAAAAATAAATTAATAGTATCAGTAAAATATCATTATAAAATTTATATAGTGATAAAATAATTGGATCATATTATAGTATATCAGTTTAAAATAAAATATTTAAAGTTAATTAGTTAAGTCTTTAATATATCTTCTTGTAATTTTTTTGATTAATGGAAATTTAATTAATCAACATAATATTGGCTTAATTTAAGATCAAAAAAAATAAATTAATAGCATCAGTGAAATATCATCATAAAATTTATAAATTCATAAAATAATCGGAGCATATTATAGCATATCAGTTTAAAATAAGATGTTTAAAATTAATTAGTTAAGTCTTTATTATATTATCTTGTAATTTATATAATTGGTAAATTATCAGTTGTTTGTTTTTGGTTGATTTTTTAATCACCTAAATATCATCTTTTTTTGAATTATATTCGAAGATTATATTAATCTTCTTCATATTGGTAGGCCGATATATTAACAATTCTATTAATCGGTTTATATTTTTGGTTGATTTTTTAATTGTCTAAATATCATTTTTTTTTGAATTATATTTGAATATTATATTAATCTTCTTTATATTAGTAGGCCAATATGTTAATGATTCTATCAATCAGTTTAATATCTTACACCTAATTTTAGAGTATTTGTTTTTGTATATATCGTCTTCATATCATCTTATCATATAAAAAATTTCGACTAGTGAATATCATGTTGTTAAAAAGAACAACTTAATTTACAATAATGAAGAAAATGAATATTTGATAACTGTAATACCACTGAGATTGGATGAATTTGATTTAAAGAATTATACTAGATATAATAAATTGAGACAAATTGAGTGGTGCCAAAACTATCCAATTTTGATTATTGGATCACGATATGATTGAGTTTTCGTGAAAATTAATATAACTAATTATTGTATTGTGCTTATACCACTAGTGATATCATGTTGTTAAAAAGAACAACTTGATTTACAATAATAAAGAAAATGAATATTTGATAATTGTAATACTACTAAAATTGGATGAATTTGATTTAAAGAATTATGTTGGATATAATAAATTGAGCAATCTAGTAAAGAATCTAGTTTACTAAAATTTTCTAGCCACTTAAAGCAAAGAAAAATATATACTTTATCATTATTCTATAAATGTTCAATTATACCAGTTATTTTACCAAATTTTGAATAATCTTTACTAAATAATTTAATTTCTACTATTTCTCCAACTTTTAATCTTATATTATAATAGTCACCATTGGATTGCCATATTGTATATGTTGCATTTTCATAAAAGCAAACTCAGGTTTTTAGTAAAGCTTATTTGAATGAATAATATGATGAATATGTATTTATAATTTCTCTTGAAAGATTATTTGTCTCAAAACTAGTTGATACAAATTTTGCAGTTTCAATTTTACATTTATTCTATTTTTGTTCTAACTTTATTTCAAATACTCTGAATAATTTAGAATATTGGGATTGACAATAATTGTTGAATTTCTAAAAAAAAAAAAATTATACTTAGCATTAAAATACCTGCTAAATTTAATTTTATATAAAAAAAAATCTTCAGATTGTAATTGGTCAGATATACTGTTTAAACTATGTATTGACAAACTATAATTATTAATATACCAGTTTGATAGCAGATTATAAAGTTGTAGTCTTTTAATCAATGACTTAAAAATAGACTAAGTAGAATAGTTAGGCATTCGGTCATCTATTCTATTATTAAAGAAATACTGTAAGGTTTGTAAAGTATTAATTTGCTGTAATAGAGTAAGTTCAAAGTTATGCTTGTTGGTGTATGGAATGATTGCTTTAAATATTCTATATACTATTTCTTTCATACCAACAGCTATATTTATACAAGTTGTGTATTGGTATACATGATTTACCAAATGACAGTTTATATGTAGATTAGGAAGATTTTAAAACTTATCAGGGAAAAGCTATAATAAAATTTTAAACAATTAGTATTGATATCTTAAGCTTTAAAATTAAATAAATTTTTAATAAAAAAAATAATACCTTAATTAATACCTTAAGTTCTTCATTTAATATATGTAATTTAGAATATCCAGAAGACCATTGTATAGTTATTGAAATACTTCTTTAGCCACTTTTGCAGAAAGCGCCCAAGTATTTATAATATAATCTCTTACTTCTATATAAGAAGAAAAATGTACATAAAAATTTATATATTTAAATATAACCTTATCTAAATCTTTAACAATAATATTAGCAATTATATATTAAAGTAGTTTTTTTTTAGACTATTTAATTTACTCTTATTTTTACTAACCAAAACATAACTAAGAGCCTACTTTTTCTTAATTGTAGCAAGTCTTAAATTAGTTTGTAAATAGAAAATTTTAAGATAAAATATTACACTTAGGTGGTTATATATAAAAAAACTTATTGTATATAACATATTCAAAATAAATAAATAAAATTGTTTATAATCTAACTCTCTATATCTAACCTTAACGTTAAATCTTAATTTTTTAAAAATTTATAATTAAGTGATGATGATTATCTCTGTTGATATTTAGAAATTTTAAATATGTATATTTGTGGGCCAGATCGGGTCTGGTGACAAAATTTTATAATGCGGGCCAGCAAAAAAAATTTAAATTTAAATGTCTGGCCACAAAAATAGGTAACTTGCAGGCCTTTATCGCCAAGTGACAATAATATTCCTGCATCTATAGAATAAAGTTAAGTACCTTCGAGTTCTTATATGTATATATGTTTTTGGTTTGTTAGTTATGAAAAAAGAATAAATAATTGAGATGTTTAAGATTAAGTGCACTTTTATTATAAGCATTGGTACCATAAAATACAACGATATTGTACATAAAAGTTTGTATATATATAACAACTATACAATGAAAATGTATATAAAAGATTTTGTCTACAAATAAAAATACAATATTATTGTATAATACAGTACATAGTAATATATATTACATAAATAATTTAACCGGTTATTTTAACACAAATAATAATAATAAAGGAATGTGTAAAAAAATAATTTATAATAAAAAAGGAATGTGTAAAAAAATAATTTATAATTAAAAGAATGATAAAATATGAAGTTTTTTTTCTTTTCTTTTCTTTTATTATTTTTTTTCTTTTTTTTTTTATTAATTATGTAAAACAGGAATAGGAAGGGCTTCGACGAAAAGATCTCCCAAGAGCTCTTGAAGGCCTTCGTTATCGTTAGTGTCGTTGATTGTGATCGGCGGGATCGACGGGATCGACGGGATCGACGGGGTCGGCGAGTGAACGGCAACAGGAATATTAAAGTTTATAATTCTTATTTCAGAATAACACTGCTGAGAGACAAGTTGAGCCACCCGTTTAAACTCATTTACTAATTGTGCGTCTTCAGTCTTTAATTGCTGCCAAAAGTTGCTCGCATGCCTAGATAAATCATGTCTTTCGATTCTGAGGTTAAGGGTCGTGACGCAATCCTGTAAAGAATTCCGGAATAAAATGAAACAAGTTTGTGGGGCCCTCCTGCCGCTATTTAGGGTAATGTTCTGCACTGTAGGGATTGTAAAAATCGCGCGATTATTTCTGAAGCTAATATAAAATTGACCACAGTCGCATCGAATAAAATATATATCGACACCATTCACGTTTGATATAATTGAATATGGGATTATTGTTGTCGACATTGTTGAGAGTGGTCGTTTATTTAATCATTAAATTGTTCTGTGCCGCTTATAATGGGTGAGGGAAATCAACGACAATGAGGAAACAAAAATTCAGAGAGGTACTTTATATAATTTCGATCGAAGCATCAAAAATACTTTCTAAGAACATAATTACCGTTAACGATCAAGATTTTTTTTTTTAAAAAAAACTTAAAAAAGCCACTTGACTTTTGGATAATCGAAAGAGTGGCCTGATTTTTTTTTAAAAAAAAAAAACTTAAAAAAAGTGGCCTGATTTTTTTTCTTTTCTTTTCTAAGCCTATTATCGAGCCATTAGCAATATTGTTATAGAAGGGAATTTTTTTCCTAATTATGAAATTAAATCGGACTGCGGACGATTCATGCTTTTTTAGGTGAAAAACAAATTGCCATAATTTTTCAATCATTTACGCGTTAATACGAATTGAGCCACTCCATAAAAGGAGAATTGAATAATCTAATATTATCTAATAAATTTTGATTTTGATTACTTAGGTAAGTACGTTTGTTTTAAATAAAATGGAAAATATCAATCATAAATACATATATAAAAAAAGTTAGTCCAAATACATAAAAGGTATATTTTAAGGGCTAGGAATTTGTATGTAAATGCAGTTTCCCCATTTTTATGGGGTTTTGTTAGCTTAATCATAAAATTACACGAGATTCCATAACTATAATATCTTTGATGACCTTCCATTCGAGATGAATATACTATTACTTTTAATCATTCTTTTAAGCATTTGAATAATTAATTATAGTTAATATCAAGTATTTAAACATGTTCGCTCACTCTTTAGTATGTTAGAAATAAGAATTTTCCTCGGTTCTTACCGCATTTATTATAATCTTTAGTTATTTACTACAAGGACACATTGATACTTGAAAACAGATCATTCTAAATCGATATCATCCTATGAACATGTACAACGCTGAGCATTGCCTAATTTATGATTAAATAAAGCTTCTAAGATTTCTAAGAATTTTAAAAAATTTATTTATTAAAGAAACCGTGAAACCCGATCTATAAATATTGAAATACGATAGACGCACGCACCAGCATACGTACGTACGTACGTGCACATTGTGACTCTGGGTCACACGCACAACAATTTAATCGAATCTCATTCATAAATTATATTGTTATGCAATTTCGGATTCTCTAAATGAATAATTATTAATGTATATACTTTAAAATGCGCACTTTGGGTTATTAATTAAAAAGAATAATGGAGTTATTAAACCTTTTACAAATTAATTCAATTAATTCAATTGTTAAAACGATAATTGTAATCTAATATCCAAATATGTATTTACATCTATTTACAGGATTACTTCTGCTAATATTAGAAAGTGGGCATTCTGCATAAAAGATTCAAAGATTCATTGACATTGATTATATACCAAATGCGATCAAGGTATGACAAAGGTAATCGTACTATATACGTTTTAAGTTTACAATGACTGTCTTAAAAAAATTTCTTTATACGTAACTATAATTTTAAAGTACGTACCAATACCAAATATGTAATATATGTACGTACGTACGTACGTACGTAACAGGCGTACATACGTACGCGTGTATGTACTCACATAAACACGTATCAAACACGTATCATCTTGGTCAGAAAAATTTACACATGACACAAATACATTACTCTGAAGGCAGTAATATTTCGGATAGTTTTTTGTCTATGTATACGTATAACTCGTATCTACTGCGGTAGTCTTAAGCATTCCTTAGACCCAGAATTATAAAATTATACATTGATATTAATTTTAACACACTAATTCTTCTTGAACATTATTTGAATTTCATGTTTCAGATGCATCGATATGTCAAAATAATATATAAAGGTCGCAAGACCTATCAATTTATGAATCACTTAATCTCAATAAATCAAATATTTCTTTTATTTCTTTAGCTAATTGCCAATATTTTGAAAAATATTTTATAGTTATTGTATGGGTTGTAGCCAGTGATGTAAATTGGGTTCGCGCAGTAGGCGCAGCGTACATAGATTTAAATCTGCGCGTATAATAGCACTCTCCGTATATATAGCGCGCGTATAAATTTTTTTTTTGTGCACATTTTTTTGCATTTGCGCCAATAAAAATTTTTTGAATTTATAACACTGGTTGTAGCGAATAACCCAGTTCATATTCTGTGCCGAAGACACGGGATTTAAATATGAACCCGTGTGTATAACTGGGTATTCAATATATAACTATCTTATTGCGCGGTGTCTGACGTAACAATCCCGTGCCAATAAGTAAATGAAAAAAGCACGCGCTATCACTAATTATCCTGGTATGGTGGAAATAATAGTGGAGAATTTTTCGCACTCTAAATGCGCCCATGGGAAGATTTTTCCGATACTATGTAACACTGTGCTACTTATCGTTTCATATGGCATACGTACGTACCGAAAATGTGTACAAGGTTGTGCTCCAGATGATCATGTGGTCCCGATGGCCACTTAGTTAAACAAATCCCGATATCTTTTAATATATCAACAATATCGGAAATTATAATGATCTATGTTATAAAGTCGAATTTCCTTTACACTGCACCTTTAGCTACTCTACTCTTATTTATATCTTTATTTGCGCATAACATTAAAGAAAGAAGATAAAAAAAGAATTCTATTTTTATTTATTTGATCTACTAATACTACTTCAAATTCTTTAATAACTACGCACAAAACATGAAGTTATATGATAAAAAACAAGCTGTATTCTAGCATATTTATTTGTTCGTTAAAAGTTCTCTAAATATCTTGTTTGTATTTTTGTAAGGAAAATTTTTTCTTAGTTCTTTAAATCATCTTAAACGTTACTTTTATTTTATGATTATAAATACATTATAGCCAACTCTTTCTATAATGAACTGACGTACTAAAAAAACATGTTCATTATAGAGAGGTTCGTCATACTGTATAGAGCCTGCTATATATAAAAATTTTTATTGAATAAATTAGATTTTAAAGTTTTTCTTTTCATTAAATAAAATACACAAATCTGTTAAACAAAAAAGCTTCTATATTAACATATTCGTCAAAAGAATTTACGATATATTCAAATTACAACATACGTACAGTACGTCTATTAATAACTGATAATTAATTGAGAAATTTTGAATTCTGGAGTAGCAGTCTTGAACACATTTTCGGTATGCTTTCATATGACCACATAATGGGGACTCGTGTAACAAATTATTTGTCTCATTTCTTTGTCGTCGTTCAAATCTATTTACAATTTTTGAAAATTTTCGGAAAAATATCAACTAAAGTACTAAAAGTGAAATAAGATTTGTGTTACAATAAAGATTATGAATATGATAATAATATAAACATCGTCATACGACCATAGCGAGACAATGAATGATAATATACTTATATAGTAATATGAATTAAATAATATTCTTACAAAACAATGAAATTTTCATAATACTTGTTTACTTCTCGATCGTGTGATATACTCATTTGCAATTTGCAAATAATCAAAAGATATAAATATTAACCATTTAATACATATGTATACACAAACTACTGTATACATTATCCATTGCTGAGATCGTGTAATTCTGGCTAGTTGATTTAGTCAATTCAATGTATCCTGCAAAAATCTGCATTTTTGCAGATTTTTGCAAATTTGTACTTATTTAATTTTCTCGATGTACAGATTATAATGAAATCAGATTAAAATGAAATGAGGGCTTCTATTTAACCCACTTATACTTGTTTATTATAAACTCTACCTTAACACTAATCTTTAACTCTAACCCTAACTCTAAAAATGCATATCAAAAATTTTATTTTTCGGTGGTTTGTCATTTTTTACATTATACAATATTTCATTTTAATCTGATTTCATTTTAATCCGTCACAATTATTAACATTGAAAATGTAATAAAATAAACCTTTTTAAAAACTTAAATTTATATATTTGACAACAAAGTAATTAATTTTAATGTTTAAGAGCTCTTTGAATTCTACATACATATAGAATTCAAAAAGCCTTTAAATATTAAAATTGATTATGCCATTGTCAAAATATTTTTATTTAAACTTAAGATCAGCCCAGCCAATATCAATATTTGAGGCCTCTTTTGAATTTTACAAGATCGTAGAAGTCAAAAGAGTCCTTAAACATTGAGATTGACTGCACTGTTGTCAGAAAATTTATATTAATTTTTTAAAAAACAATGTGGGCTATTATGTATATTCATGATATGTATGGCAATTTTTATTATAGATGCCCAACTTGGAAGTTTTATTATCTACAGAAAGTATGGATGATCAGCTTTTATGATATTCTTTTGTTATCAAAATTTAAAATTGCTTCAAATCCTCTATAGAACTAATGTATATGAAGATTCAAGTAGTTATAATAATATATTTATTAATAAAATAAGAAAAGCCTAAATACAATTATAAAGCAAATAAAAGGTCTATCTATACATGATTCGAGAAAACGATGTACCAAGCTTTAAATTATTGTTGGCATGTTCTAATTTTATCTAATAAATATCTTATTAAACTTCTATATTAGAGCGAACCATTAAGATATGATTGTATAGCTCGCTAAAATAACGCAATACATGTTTCGTTTTACTTTACCTCGACGTGCAAATTATACACAGTTATAAATCTACATGACTGCGGTCTATCAAAGAGAATTTTTAACTTAACACCATATTTGCGCGCAATAATACGCAGGTGCACATTATTTGAATCCCTGCATGTTATTTCGGGATGCGCATTCGCAGTAATTCGAATCATTTGACAGATTTGGGTTACAAGAAAAAGCCCTACTATTATTAATGAACTCAGTTTAAAAACTTTGATCAAATATGTAATATGGTGTATTTAAGGGGGTACTTTATTTTGGGACGCGTTTAGGCGTTATTTTGAGTCAAAAAAAACAAATTTAAACAAATGAGAGTTTCAAAATAACGCCCATGTGCGTTATTACGCGCAAATACAGTATCTGATTTTTGCACAGAATTTTCCCAGATATTTTCATGCGCAATTACTTGTAAAGTATCATAAATAATATTAACATAACATTAGAAACTCTATAACATAGTATTGATTCAAATTATTAAACAAAATTCTTTCTCTATAGAACTCTAAATTTTATGACACTGAGAACATATATTAATATATTAAACTATAAATTAAAAATTATTTGGTAATAGGGTTCTGCAAATCCAATATATGTCCGTTCAAAAAAATACTGTGAATAGAGGACCAAATAGCTGCAGATGGCTGATCTATAGTTACATTTAATTATCTTAAAGATCGAGAATATAATTTTTTATTTATTTTTAAAAATTTCATGTGGCTGAATAAAATGACTCACATTACTAGCGTTAGTAAAATGACTGTTTACAAAATTAAAATAATAAGCTACTAAAAAATACAAATTTTTAAAGTGCTTTTTTTTTTAAAGTTAAGCATAGTAATAAGTATAAGTAGGTTTTAAAAAATTAAAAGAAAAACTTCAAATTTTATTTAATCAGATTTCATTATGATTTATAATAGTTAAAAGTTCTTCGCTAGTAATTGTAATTTGTGTTTCTCTTTTGTTTTCATCTTTATCTTTTGATTCTGTAACCTTGACTGTCTTTTCTCGCGCAGCAACGCCGGATTAATACAAATAACTAGTTTGCTTCCATTATGAAAAATATCTATATGTGATTCTTCAATATGTTCAGGTACTATTGGTTTAGAATTGTTTAGTTCCATTAAAATTTTCCATCTTCTCTCTATTTATTGAAAACTTCATAGAGTCCTTCTGCTGGTGGTTGTTTTTCGGATCTTCATTCCAGCATCTCTCACGTAACATAGTGGTGCTTCTTCGTAAATTGGTGGTCGAAACCAAACCCATCAATTATTTGTATTATTTGATCTAAATCAGTTAAATTATAATGCTGTAATACAGATTCACCAATGCAATATTTCCCATATGATCATGCCGAAAGAATATTATTTACTTATTATTAACGTTCGTTATTCATTATTGCCTGTATTATTTCACTGATAATCACGATTAATTCACAGACAAGTTCATTTCATAGACAGTATATTTTACTAACAGCTCATTTCACTGACAAATTAATTCTGGTCATTGTCATTGGAATACAATAAACCCTTAAGATTAGTGCAATTTATTAAAAAAAATTTGGGTAATGAACTGTTGTTAATTTATACTGTCTATGAAATTAACTTGTCTGTGAATAAATTGTTTATGAAATTAACTTGCCTATGAATTAATCGTCTGTAAAATAAACATTGGCTGTGAATTAATTGTCGGTAAATTGATCAGAACTGATTCATATAAAAAAAACTAGAGATCCACACAAAAATATAAACCCATTTATATTAATTATCAAATATTTATTTCGCTTAATTAAAGTATTCATTTTATCCAAATTAATTCGAGAAGATTCTAATTCGTTAAATTCGTGATTATATAATCTTGAACAACTTGATTAACTTCGTTTTGTTTACACTAATTAAATAGATAAGGTATTTAGGCGTCAAGATATTTGAATTCATTTTATTTAATTTTATTATGTGGGTAGTAGAGAAATATTAATTCATTATTAATTTTATGTTATGATAATTTAGTGAAAAATAATTTGTAAATTGAGGTATTTGAATAAATTATTCAAGTTCGTGAATCTTTACTATCAAGTAACGCTTCTCATTTATTTGAATTAATTTAGAAATATGAAATCATTAATTTATCAGCAGTATCCAAATTACTGTCACATAATTAAACTTTGTTCTGTATACACAACCATTAAAACAGGCGGCGAAGCTGCCCGCATGTGCAATTTCTATTTGTCACTTGGTCACCTAAAATGGCTCAAACAACTACGAAAAAACTGTATGGGATGTCACCTAGCTGCTCATGTGGTCAACAGCTCATTCCTAGGATCGATAATTAACTCTACACACTTTTACCTGTTCCTGGTTGTATTCTCGACATCAAACCTGTCCGGTTAGGCTATCAAACCTACTCTGATATCTGGGTTGTCCACCCGGGCTATCAAACCTACCAACACAAAACTATGTATCCTTTCTCAAATCTCTTCTGGAAGTGGGTGGGTGGGTATTTTCGACAAAGCTAGACTTGTGTCGAGCTAGCAGCAAAGACAAAAGAGGAAGAACAAAATCTCATTTCTTCCCACTATATAGTCATTTCCAATGACCTCATTTTACCATCACTTATCAATCAAACTATAAAACTATAACCTGTCATTCCATTTAACAGACAATATATCATACTTACCACTAGCTGATCTAACGTCATAAATCTGGGACGTGATCTCGTGACAAATGAATGCCTCGTGACTTCGTTCACGGCATCTCATTTGTCACTCAGTCACCTAAAAATGGCTTAAACAACTACAAAAAAACTGTATGTGATCATCAAGAGGATCGAATAATGTCCTCTCTCTTCTCTATTAGCCAAAGTAAAAAACAATATGCACAATTTCAATTGTTTACATTACATATATTCTCAAAACCCCATTCTGAGCGAAGCCCCATCTCTTGTTGTTTTTACTGCTCTCAAATACAGCATAACTGCCCTAGAATCCCAACCTCCAATGGTTTTAATCTGGGTTAAAGACATTCCTCCCCTTATAGCTGCCGTTGCACATCCTATTCTAAGACTATGAGCAGTAAAACGCCTATTGAGCCTTGCATAGTTAGTCATACGCTTCACTACTAATGCAACTGGGGATACTGACATCTCTCCTTCTCTATTTGACAAAAATAGCGGCTTCTCATCTGAAGTACTTGGCCTCACTTTCAAGTACTTTTTCAACAACCTTACTGGGCAAATCCTACTCGACGTTGACTCAATTGGTATAAATTTTCCATTCGCAAATGGGTCATTTTTCGCTTTTCTTACTCTGATCCAGGTCAAACCCAACCTCTTTTCTATATCCTTTACCCGTAATTTACACAACTCACCTGGTCTCCACATCGTACGGAACCCTATTGCAATTAGGGCTAAATCTTTGCACCAAAATACTGGGTTTGCCCTTTCCAGAGGAAAATCATAATATTTTCTCAAAGCTTCAAGTGGGAAAGAGTCTTGCGGCCAGTCTGCTTCCTGATCCTGAGCCCTCAACAACCTAATACCCCTTACTACTTCTTTAACTTTAAAATCATCTACTAGGTTTATAAACTCTCTCTCCTTATGTACCCTAGCTATCACGCCTAAAAAGTTTTGCATTTGTGAAGACATACCCGCCATTTCTAGCCAACCCAAAAACGCTCTAACTGTATCAACATTAGCTAGACAAACTGTCTCCTTCGCCCAGCTACAAAAGTTTTCAAACACATGCTGTGTCCTCTCCAATCTTATTCTATATCCCTTACCAATTGCTTGGAAGGCCAAATCATCTACTCTACTTAACAATGCATTAACCAATTTATGTTTGCCTCTAGCAATCTCCAAGCTGGGTTCCTGCATGGCTCCCTTTGCCCTGAAGGTCCCGGAATAATTACTTCTGAGGCTGGTAGTAGCTCTATTACACTCTTCGGTGCTCTGAGAAACATTAGCCACCATGGAGCTGAATTCCAAGCTAGAAGAATCAAATATACTTTGGCTTTACATTCCCAGCTGTGGGTCAAAACCCAATATATTAGACCGAAGGGTGGACATGCATAATTTATCTCCATTTTTCAATCCTGAGTGAAGCAATCGACTGCTTCTAAATTCGGGCAAAAGTAATAGCTGTCGAAGTGTTTCTTTTTTGTATTTAGGTGGTTTGCAAAGCGATCTATCGTTGCTTGCCCCCATTTGTCCTCTAGGCTCCAAAACACCTGATCGTTTAATTGCCAATCTCCCATATCCCAAACTCTCGTAAGATGGTCTGCTGGATTTTTCTTGCTTGGTATCCACCTCACCTTGTGGATCCAAACATCGTTCCTTGCACAAAACTTCCACAGAAACCATGTTAAATCCTTCTGCCATGGACAACTTTCCCCATGTGTCACTGTCCTTATTGCAATCTTGTTGTCCATAAATAACGTTATCTATGAATTTCTCAACCAATCAACAAATGATTCTAACACTCTCAGCACCGCCAGACTTTCTAGCTGGGCTATTTCCATTGATTTGAATAATGTCAGCCAATTTCCCGCAGCTTTGTGATTCAAATATATTCCACACCAACCTATCATTGAAGCATCTATGAATATTGCTTTTATCTGTGCTCGCTTCTATGCCGGTTTGCTGTTCCAATTCGACACGTTCTTCTTTAACCACTTTATGTCCTTCACTGC